TGGCTGACCAGTATGCAATGTTTGGCTGCGCGTACCCTGCGTGCAGGCATGTGCGCGTGCCACAGCAGTTCGTAGCGTAAAGTTTTACCAATTTTTCAGCCATGCTAACACAAACAAATTCAAAAATGCCTAACAACACCGCATTTGTTGAGTTCCCGAAAGAGACGGGCCAGATAACCTCAATCAATGGGCGCCTTAGCGGCAAATTTGCATGGGGAGCTGTTATAAATTGTTGATTCACACACTGCCGAGATTGGAGGAAAGTGGGGACACAGCGGCAACGCCGATTGACGAAAACTACCCGTCCGTCCAGTGGCCGATGGTGAGCCGAGCGCGGCCGAGCGCCACGGTCGGCCCTCTAGATAAGCGCCCACCTTTCTCCGCCGATCCGGACAGGTAGTGGGTAGATGGGGGCGCGCCAGTCGCTCGCCGAGCCCGATCACGTGCGCAACCGACTTTGTGAGTGTGGGTGGCGATGCTGCCCGACGCCACCATGGCCTGGAGGAGGAAGAACGACCGGCTGCCCGAACGGGAGGACTTCCTGAAGAGGAGGAGCCGCTTCGACACCACGGTTAGTAGCGCCACCGTCTGGATCGGGGGGCGGCAGCCCGATGAGTCACGAAGTGCGGCGCCGAGCTCGAGTGCCGTGCCAGATGGCGTTGCGCGCGCTCAATTAGGGCTGGCGTCCCGGAGTCGTCCGGGCAACGATGCTAAGTAAACGACTGGCGCGGCATCAGTGGCGGCCGTGGGCCGCAACCTTGACAGCGCCAACTGGTTACGACGTTACCACAACAACAACAACAACAACTGCCCAGTGTGTTTAAGGCGTGCGAGCGTGCGCGTGGCTCGATCAAACCGACTATCGAACGGGGTTGCAACCGCGCCATCCCCTTGGCACTGTTGTCGATGCACTGTTGCCGATACCGCTGTTGTTGTTTCAGATGGCGAGCGAGTTCACCCCGAGCGAGCACATGCCGACCGAGCCGCCCCACACCAACACGAAAGGCGCCCCCCCGATTGCGCGTGCCGGCGGCACCGTGACGACAACGTCGCAGGTAAGTCGCCATCTAGCGAGCGCGCGTCGCACCCATCCGGAATTCCCCATTCATTCATCACGGCAATTCATTCATGAGTCATCGGCGAGGCGCATGCAAGCGGCCGCCCAGGGCGACCGCGGGCGGCAGCGGGGAATGCTGGCACGCGCCCAACCACAGCCCGAAAATACCCGCGCGCTTGGCGTCCAGTACGAAACCGACGCCGACCGCGACGCCCGCTTGCGCTTTGCTTTTTTTGCGTAACAACTGCGCGAGGTGAGCCCCCATTCACATTCACCCCCACCTGCCTGCGCCCAAGCCTGGAGAGCAGGCAACGTTGCCCTCAGGGTTTCACCCAACAAACAAACGTCACANTTAACCTCTGTGGTTGTTGTTGCAGCTGCAAACCAACTCGCAAACGAGTTCGACCACGACCCGAGTGAAATCGTCCAGTTCGAGCACCACCACGTCGACGCAGCGCCTCCATCTGTCCGCCAGCGACCTCAAGGCGTCGAACGTCAAGTCGGACCTGGTCGATTTCAAGAACAATCTGAACGACATGAAGAGCAGCCTGCCATCCGGCTCGTACGGGCTGCGCGAGCTCAACGAGCTGCGCTCCTCCTTGGAGAACCTGGTAAGTGTGCGCCGTGCCTGAGTGGGGTTGTAAAAAGGGGGGGGGGGCGTGGCCACGCCGTCGAGGACCGCCCACCAACCAATCGCCTTTTGTCCTTAGCGGCGACACGTGGCCCGGCACCTGAGTCTCGGCTGGCGCCCCACCACGCACCCAAACGGCGCCCTCAAGCAGGTAAACACGTGTGTGTGCGCGCGCCCGTGCGACTTAATCCTCCGGCTTTTGATTGGCTGCGCCACTCACCGCGAAACTCAGGTTCCGGCGCTTCTCTGTCACTAACCACTCAGGTGCGCAACGCCGGTGCTTAGTGGGCGTGTCTTGTGTGCGCAGGTTGACTCCCCCGACGCCAATCAGTATGTGGAGGGCGGCGACGCGCAGCCGCTCGTCACCTACCCGGACGACAGTCGCGCCCCTAGCGAGGTGAGCTCGCCCCAGCCGGGCAACGCGCTCGGCAGCCTCTTCGAGCAGAAGACCACCAACCGCAAGCGCACCAAGGTAGGCGCAAAGTGTTTGGCGCGCTCCCAGTCACTGTCAACTGTTTGCTGCAGGTGGTGAAAGATGGCGTCACTGCCGAGAAGGAGAGCGCCAACGTGGCCGAGTCCAAGCGGCTGCACGCCGGCGACGTCACCTACGAGGAGAACAAGGCGGCGGCCGCCATTAAGGCGCGCGTGGAAATCGACGGCATTTCCGCGGAGAAAAGCCACATCAAGGCCAAGGTGAGTTGTGAGGGTGCGCGCTGGCGCCAGCCCATCGATCGCTTGGCCTGCGGGTTGGGGCGGCAGTCGGCATGCGGCAGGCCCTCAAAGGCACGCTGCGCTGGATGCGCTCCCACCTCCAGGTGAGTCACGGCCTCAAATTTATTGCCGACTTGGCGCGCCGCCAGTCCCGATTTGCGTCCAGTGGATTTGTCGCCAGCACTCAGTGCGGTGTCGCGATCGGTTGACACAAGTCTGATGAGCGCCGTCGGCGGCCGCAAGGGCGGGGCGCCCCCGCGCCTGCGCATCCACCGCCCCCAAGTGTACCGCGCTGTCCCTTTGCAGGAGGCGCGCAGCCTGAAATCGGGCGACATCAGCCAGCAGGAGACCAAGAACATGGCGCACACCAACACCAAGCTGTCGGGCGACAAGTTCAGCGCAGAAAAATCGTCGACCGAGTCGCAGCAGCAGCGCCAGCTGGTGACGGCCAGCGGCATGTACAGCGACAGCCACGCGCACAGCCACTCGCACAGCAGCAGCTACATGAGCGGCAAGGGCATCAGCGCCGCCGACACCAAGCGATTCGCCCAAGTTGGCGCCCAGGTGGGCGCTCAGGTAGGCGCCCAGGCCACGCCCCGTTTCACTCAAGTTCACTCTCTTCTCCTGTCAGTTCCACAGCTTGCTGAACGGCAGCCAGGAGGACGAGCTGCTGGCAACGTCGCTGGACGACCTCGAGCAACTGTCAGCCGCGTCACAGTACTACGAGGTGGAGAAGGCGATCAAGAAGTACACCGCCTACTTGGAGGCGTCGGTCAAGTGCATCCAGCGGCCGGAGGCGGCTGCGCCGCAGCTCCTCAGCAAGATCAACGACGTGGTGCGCAAGGCATGGGCGGTCCCCACCTACGGCCACGAGCTGGGCTACAGCCTGTGCAACGCGCTGCGCAAGTGCGGCGGCCTGGACCTGCTGATGGCGAACTGCACGCGCCAGGAGGCCGACGTGCAGTTCAACAGCGCGAAACTGCTCGAACAGTGTCTGACGACGGAGAACCGCGCGCACGTCGTCGAGCACGGCCTGGACAAGGTGGTGCACGTCGCGTGCGTGTGCACGCGCCAGACCAACTCGGCCGAGCACTCGCGCGTCGGCACCGGCATCCTGGAGCACCTGTTCAAGCACAGCGAGGAGACGTGCAGCGACGTGGTGCGTCTCGGCGGGCTCGACGCCCTCCTGTTCGAGTGCCGGAAGAGCGACGTGGAGACGCTGCGCCATTGCGCCGGCGCCCTGGCCAATCTCAGCTTGTACGGCGGCGCCGAGAACCAGGAGGCGATGATCAAGCGGAAGGTGCCGATGTGGCTGTTTCCGCTCGCCTTCCACAACGACGACCACATCAAGTACTACGCATGTCTGGCGATCACGGTGCTGGTGGCCAATGCGGAGATCGAGGCCGACGTCATCCAATCGGGCACGCTCGACTTGGTCGAGCCGTTCGTCACCACGCACAACCCGAGCGAGTTTGCGCGCTCCAACTTGGCGCACGCGCACGGCCAGAGCAAGACATGGCTCAAGCACCTGGTGCCGGTGCTGAGCTCGAAGCGCGAGGAGGCGCGCAATCTGGCCGCCTTCCACTTCTGCATGGAGGCGGGCATCAAGAAGCAGCAGAGCAACACGTTCATCTTCCAGGAGATCGGCGCCATCGATGCGCTGAAGCGCGTCGCCAGCTGCCCGAACGCGGTGGCGTCCAAGTATGCGGCGCAGGCGCTGCGCCTCATCGGCGAAGAGGTGCCGCATAAGCTCAGCCAGCAGGTGCCGCTGTGGTCGGCCGAGGACGTCGAGGAGTGGGTGAAGCAGATCGGCTTCACTGAGGTGGCCGCCGGCTTCGTCGAGAGCCGCGTAGATGGCGACCTGCTGCTGCAACTCACCGAGGAGAATCTGCGCGACGACATCGGCCTCACCAACGGCATCAAGCGCAAACGGTAGGTGTTGCCACCTCGCGCATTCCGTCCTGATTACTGATACTTGCAGGTTCACGCGCGAGCTGCAAAAGCTCAAACGCATGGCCGACTACACGTCCCGCGACTCGGCCAACATCAACAATTTCCTTCAGTCGCTCGGCCCCGAGTTCTGCACCTACACGTACAGCGTGCTGAACGCAGGCGTCGAGACGAAGGACGCGCTGCGCAACATCAGCGAGGACCAGCTCTTGCACGAGTGCGGCATTGCCAACTCGATCCACCGGTTTCGCATCATGGAGGGCATCCGGCAGCTGGAGAATCGCATCGGCAGCGATCTGAACGACGAGAGTCCCGACAAATCGCTGGACGTGTTCGTCAGCTATCGGCGCTCGAACGGCTCGCAGCTGGCCAGCCTGCTGAAGGTGCACCTGCAGCTGCGCGGCTTCAGCGTGTTCATCGATGTGGAGCGCCTGGAGGCGGGCAAGTTCGACAACAACCTGCTGCAGAGCATCCACAAGGCCAAGCACTTCCTGTTGGTGCTCACGCCGATGGCCTTGGAGCGGTGCAAACACGACCACGAGAAGAAAGACTGGGTGCATCGGGTGAGTTAGCGGCACTCGCGCCCCCTATTGCCACTCGCTCACACTGGAACCGCGTTTGCTCGACAGGAAATCGTGGCGGCGCTGTCCTCCAACTGCAACATCATCCCGATCATTGACAATTTCACATTCCCGGAGGCGGACGAGCTGCCCGAGGACATGCGCCAGGTGTGCCACTTCAATGCCGTGCGCTGGATCCACGACTACCAGGACGCGTGCGTGGACAAGCTCGAAAGGTGCGTGACGCTTGGGCGAGTTGTGACGATGCGGCGAATGCGCCCTTGACTGTTGTAGGCGCATCCGCCCCACCGTCATGCGCCGCTACTGAGCATTTGCTTCTAGAGTAAAAAACCGTAATCTGTTTGCACGCTGCTTGGCCTCTTGCCGAGGTAAGCTGCAGCGTTGCCGTTCTGTCGCCAAAATCCGCTCCGCTCGACCGATTGCCACATTTCACGCTGATATTTGCAGGTTCATGCGCGGCGAATTAAACGCGCGCAGCAGCGAGGGCAACTTGATGCGCGTGGGGCTGGGCAAGGGCGACATCACGCCCAGCACGCCCTCCACCGCCGGAATGGGGCGCCAGCCCCCCAGCTATCAGCGCATGCACAGCAACGACTCGGGCAGCGGCAAGGGCTCGGACAAGGAGCCCGGAGGGGGTCTGCGCGACTGACTAGACGGCCCGCCCGCCTCCATGCCCAGGTAGGCCACGTCCACCCCACGCCCGCCCCACTTCAATCGGCCCTATTGCAGGAGCAGGCGGCTCTTGAGCCCGTCGCGCCAGTGGATCATGACGCCCAAGGGCGGCGAGGGGCGACCGCCGCCGTATCCGCGCACCGACCGATCGCGCAGCCTGGGCGGGGCCCCAACCGAGACTGATGCGCAGCTGAACAGGGCGCGCAGCGCCGACGACGTTCTCGACCCACCGTCGAAGCGCAAGCTCAACTTCATGGACCGTTGTGTGAACAAAGTGCGATCTCTAATCAGGAAATGATGGCAGCCTACACTAGTGATATACCTACCTATATTTGTTTTGTTGATTTCTGTTTGTTTGACTAAGTCCGGCAACTATGTTCCAGTAAGTACAAAAATGCCGTCACGCGCGTGCCTTAAACCGACTGTTTTACAATGGCGCGCAGTATTTTGTGTCGCATAGGCTGGGGGGCGCAGCCCGATCCCCTCACCTGTATTTTATCACTGTTCAATGTGTTTTAACATATTTTTTGAAAAAAGCGTTTTTTTCTCTAGATCTTAGCCCATTTTAAACTATTGCCAATTTTAATTAATTTCATTTCGATTGTAGTTTATTTTACATGTGTTTAACACTTTTAGCCTATAGGAATGCAAAGCGGTTTTTCTATATTTTATGTTAAATTTCCAAATATATTTTATGAAAACTACCCGTCCAGGGCGCCCATTGTTCACTTAACCTAGCCCAACTTTTCCCCAGATTTCACCGGTTTTTCCCCCGCACTCGCAGCCTCATCAGGAGCTTTAACCGAGGATATTGAAGAAAACTGGGAATTGTTTGATGCAGATTCGCGTGTAAATGCAGGTTGGAACAGATTTCTGGTGATTTAGCGCAAGCCCTGAGGGCCCCGATTAGTTTAAAGCAAAAACAACTCACCCGATGAGCATTTTCCAGTAGGGAACCGGGGGGGCGCACTGAATTGGGGCCAAAAAACACTATTTCTCTGCTGCACTGACAGCAGGTTTCACATTAAACACTAACCGCTGGTAGCATGGCCGCCAACCAAACGGGCGTGGTGCGCGCGAAACGCCTCGGTTGGTTGGTAACCGTGTGCCACTAGGCGTCGGGGTTTTCAAGCGAAAACCTGATTTCTGCCTTTCTAGGACTAAGCAAATGGGAAAAAGCGCTAAATCACTCACCTTCAGCGTCCGGGCTCAACCCTGTAGTGGTAGGTGGTAAGTTCAATTAGTTCTAGATAGTAAGTTCAGTAAAGTTCTCACGGCTTGAGCGCTGCAGGCCCCGTTTGCTCCGGGGGCGCTTTGGAACAGTCGCACACTAAACGGGGGCCCCCTTAGGGGCCCTGGGCACTTAAAACCGGGTTTCTGTCCGAGCACTGACACTTGCCGAACTAACTATTGTCGGCGCCATATTTGAACCAGCTTGCTCGAGCTTGGCGGCCGCCGCTGGCAACACTGCTTGCGTATTGGAGAGCCTTCGGTGCGATTTTCCTTAATTTTTCCTAGGATATCTGCAATCCACAGGGTGCTCCTAAATGGGGCAAAAAGTCGTTCTCAAAGTGTGCACAATTTTAATTAATTGCAAAAACTGGTTGATTTTCTGGGGTTTTGAAATCGCGCGGACCAACAATCACCGCGCCCAAAAGCGACAAACCAGATGAAAGATGGGTGGTCGGTGCACCTAACCTATATCAACTTTGCATTGCATCAGCTGCTTTAGGTTCAACAACAACATGAGCTTGCCAACGGATTTTGGGCCGGATTCCGGGGGGCGCATCAAGGTAGGCAGGAGCGTGTAGGCCCAGTCGGAGCCCTGCTAAAGCCGTGTTTCAGGGGGTGTGCATCGTGAAACCGATCGTCTACGGCAACATAGCACGCTACTTTGGCAAGAAACGCGAGGAGGACGGCCACACGCACCAATGGACCGTCTACGTGAAGCCCTACTACAACGAGGACATGTCGGGGTACGTGAAAAAGGTGCACTTCAAGCTGCACGAGAGCTACGCGAACCAGAACCGCATCGTGGTGAAGCCCCCGTACGAAATCACCGAGACGGGCTGGGGCGAGTTCGAGATCGTCATCAAGATCCACTTCCACGACCCGAACGAGCGCCCCGTCACCATGTACCACATTCTGAAGCTGTTCCATTCGGGGGGCACGCAGGACCTGGGCGCCGAACAGGGCAAGGGCCTGGTCGCTGAGAGCTACGACGAAATCGTCTTCCAGGACCCCACGCAGCTGATGCAGCACCTGCTGGTCAACACGCGCCAGTTGACACTGGGCCGCTGGGAGCACCACAGTAAATGTAAGTTTTCACCGGAGGAGTCTTGATTGGACTAAGTGAAGGGGGGGCGCATTGCAGTTGAGGAGAAGAAGCAGCAGACGCTTAGGAACATTATGGAGGCCAGGCAGAAGGTGCGATCGGAGATAGCGGCGAATAAAAGCAAGCTGCAGCTGGCCAAGGAGACGATCCAGCAGTTCAAGGAGGAGATCGCCAAGTGCCAATAGAATAGTGTGTATATTTGTAATTATCAGTAAATTGGTAGCGAGACTAGCCTACGGCGGATGTGATCAGTTCGGCCACGCCCTCGTCTTGCGATCGCACGGTCAGTTGCATGGTGACGCCGTCGGCCAGGGCCAGCTTGGCGCGCACCAGCACGTCCACGCCCCCTCTGAACACCCCTGAAACGCGCCAGCCAATCACTGCAGCGAACAACTGAGGCCACGCCCTCGACTTACCGGCCAGTAGCAAGGTGTGTGTGGTCTTGCCCTTGGGGACTTTGTCGCTGCGCTCCGCGGGCAGCAGCCCCAGGAACTTGACGATGTTGGTCACCGCCTCCTCCAGGCTGGTCATGGAGGTGAGCGCGTAGGTGTCCTCCATTTCGCTGAAGAGGCCTTCGGCCTCCTCCCAGGCGGCGCCCCAGTTGGCTTTGCCCAGCTTGCGGATCTGGTCGCCCAGGGTGACCTCCAGGTCCTCCAGCATGTACTCGTCGTTGTAGCCTGCGCAGCCAATGGGAGCGGTTCTCACCACCAAGTCACACCGTAGCAGCCTCGCTCGCTCTTACCTTCTTCGACATCGGGCAGGCCGGTGGCAGGGTCGCAGTCCTTGACCACGAACTTGAGCAGGGCCCCAAAGGTGGCCACACTGCTGGGCAGGTCCTCGGGGAATTGCAGCACCACGTAGGCGGAGCCCGACTCGTTGTAGGGCAGCCTGGGGCAGGGGAGCACCGCGGCCACGCTGTAGCCCTCGCCGGGCTCCACCTGGACGCGCACGTCCTCCAGCAGCTGGTCGTTGAGGGTGTTCAGACAGTCGAACTGCAGCACGAGATGGCGCGCGTACGAGTGCTTCACGCACCTGACCACGTACTCGGTCTCGGACTCTGTGAGCTCCACCGGCTCCGAGCTGCTGAAGAGGGGGCCGAGCGCCTGCAGCTCGGGCAGCGCCGACAAGCGCTCGGCAAAGTTGTCCTCGCGGGTGGGCGGCGGCTTGGCCAGCGCCGCCCGCGGCTTGGCGTCCAGCTCGGCGGCCTGCGGGKGCGGCGCCACCGGCACCGCCAGCATGTCGAACGGCCGCGCCCCCTCGCCGTCCAGATACTCGCGCAGGGCGCGCTCCAGCCCCGCAATGCTCACCTGCAGCGTGTCCAGGATGTAGCGGTTGTACAGGCTGGTGTCCTGGCGCGCCAGGATGTGGCTGTAGTAGGTGGCGCGGTCGCGCACCTCATCGTCCGAGTCCATCTGGCAGCGCGCCAACAGCACCTGGATGTTGGGCAGCAGGTCGGGGCACGAGGCCCCGAACTGCGCCATCGCGGACACGGCGGCCGCCCTTATGGAGGGACACTCCAGCAGCACGCGGTTGTAGATGAAGCGGATGTAGCGCGAGGGCTGTTTGGTGCGCGGGCCCTCCTTGCCCAGCAGATTGAGGATGCGCACGGCCAGGGAGGTGTGCTCGCAGTCCTCGATGAACTCGCACAGGTGCGCCAGCCCGGTCTCCTTCGCCTCCGGGTTGTCCTCGATGATCGTGATGATGGTGTCGGCGATGGAGGCCTTGTACTCCAGCCCGCCCTCGTCGCGCAACATCGCCGACAGGAAGTTCATCAGGCTGCTGTGCTTGCGCGGGAACTTCAGGGCGAGGGCGCGGATCGCCTGCACCACCACCACCTTGAACTCGTCGCTGATCTCCGACACAAAGGTGGCGATCTGCTTCATCAGGCGGTCCACCGAGGACTCCGCCCCTGGAACAGCGCCCCATTAACCACGGCTGTCAACTTGACACTTCACGTCACCATCCGGGTGGATGGGGGTCGTGTGCGCGCTATGACGTCAGCTGCGAGTGGCGCTTACCGGTTTTGAGCAGCGTGGTGATGGCCAGCGTGGCAATCGACCGATTGGAGTCGGTGATCAGGTTCTCCAGGTCCAGGTTGCAGGCGGTGACGGCGGCCGGATGCGCGATTGCCACCTGGTTCAGGGTGCGCACAGCGGCGAAGCGCAGCGTGGCCTTGGGGGCGCCGCAGAACAGCTGCAGCACCGACACGGCCTGCGCCAGCTCGCGGCTGGTGGTGCGCTCCAGGTTGACGACGGCGCGAGCCGCCTCGTACACCACCATTTCCGATTTGTGCCGGAAACAGGCCTCGATGTACTGAAAGTGGGGCGAGCCGCTGTCGGCGCCCTCTTCCTCGATGAGTTGGGCGGCGATGCGGATCTACATTCGTCCATCAGAAAAGCGCTGCGAAGCGAAAACCCGTGAAAACTCACCAGCATGCAGACGGCATAGGGGGATTTCAAGGAGAGGCGTGTGAGGCGCGCCACCAGCTTGCTGACTGCCAAGCGGTCGGCGCGCCGGATGCGATACAGCAGGCCGAGGGCGTGGTATTGGACCATAATGCTTGAAAAGTGGGCGTGGTTTAATCTATCCGATTGGTGTGGGTGGACTCACTTGTCGCTGAGCACCGCCTCCTGGGCCTCGTTCACCCATCGCTTGACGCCCTCCGCGGCGAACCACGTCATGTGCATGGCGCTGATCAGGGCGGCGGAGCTCACGGCCGGGCTGCGGTCCACGATGGCCTGCTTCATGTAGCGCTCGATCGACGGCAGCATTCCGGCCTCTGCCCCCTCAAACCGTCAAACACTGCCTCAAAGCGCCTCCGCCGCACTCACCGGTTATGCTGCACAGGGCCCGAATCGCCCCCGCCCGGTACATGTCCTCCTTCCCAGTCATGTCCTTGGTGAGGCTGGAGGTGACGATGATCACATCCTCCGCCATGGTGCTCAGCTCCTTGATCCCCATGTAGACCAGGCGGCGCAGCACCAGATCGCGCGACTGGAACAGCTTGGTCATGGCGAAGAACACGTCGGTCGCCTCTTTGGGGCTCAGCCGCTCCCCCTGGTTCAGCATGTAGAGCAGCTTGGTGAGCACGGCGGTGCTCTTGCGCGGGTTCACCGACGCCTCATTGAAAATGCGCGCCTCTTGCAGCACCGCGCTCTTCTCGATGTTCTGAAACGGCAATCCGCCCCCTGCGCAGGGGGCCCAAATGTCACTGCCACAAGGGCTGCGGCCTGGCGCCCACTCACCGTCCTCTTCCTCCTTCTTGTCTCTCTTGAAGGCGCTCATTGTGCCCCTTTGCGGCTGCTTTGATCGATTTCCACGTTAACAAAAACAACGCGAGCAGGTTATGTCGCTGATGTGCACGTCAGCGCTGGGCGTCCGGGCGCGGTTGCCGCCTCTTCTCTTCAAGCCTAGTTTTCAAATCTTTCGCCTGAATGAATGAAATTCGCTCAAAACTCAAAAACTCAAAAAAACTGGACTTCAACGCGTTTTAAATTGATCAACGTTTTTGACTTTGTTGATGGCTACCAACTTGTAGCGTTTGAAATGTTGGCCATCCTGCTCCCGATCCCCGAACGTCAGTGAATGTCATTGTTTTGGCGAAAATGTCGTCGGGCGTCCTGCTGAAGCTCGCCCAGAAGTTCAACTGTTTCTACCTGACAGGTAAGGGGGTGCAACAGAGAGGCCCCGGGCTGACCGCCGCCCCGTTTTCCTTGCAGGGTATCAGGCGGCCGAATGCAAGCCCTTCGTGGTGGAGGGGTGCCAGGTGGGGCTGATCAGGCCCGATGTGATGCGCCAGCTGATCAACTACCCTGAGGTCAGTACTGTGGGTCAGTATGCGGGCCAAGGCCCCCCGATCGGACGCCTAAAGGAGCTTGGGTTGTGCGCAGGTGTTCCATGTGAGCCAGGGCTGCGTCGAACTGAACCCCGCTTTCCGCGACTATGAGACGCGCAGCTGCCAAGTCGACCAGGTGCTGCGCGAGCTGCGGGCCCGGAACGTTTTCGTCACCCTCAAGGGCTGGCGCGACGAGGTCAGTAGTTTTTGCCCCCCTTTAAGGGCCGATTTATTCTGGCATGTTCGTCCTCTGTTTCCTAAAGTGCTACGAGGTCAAGACGGACTTTATGGCGCAAAGTCTGCTTAAAATGGACCGGTGCGCCACCTGTTTGTTCGGCATCCGCAACTACGGGGTGACGATCAACGGGTTCGTGCGCCACCCCCAGATGGGGCAGTGCCTGTGGTTCCAGAAGAGGGCGGCCACCAAGCAGACGTGGCCCGGCAAGTGGGACTCGATGGTGAGCGGTGGGCTGTCGGTGGGGCGTGGCATCATGGAGACCGCCCACAAGGAGGCCATGGAGGAGGCGTCCGTGCCCACCGAGCTGCTGAAGCGCCTGTACAGCGCCGGCTGCGTCTCGTAAGTTCTTGTTCGGTTTCTTTCCACTGTCTCTAAATGTCCCCCCATTGTCGCTGCAGCTTCTACTTCGAGTCCGAGCGGGGGCTGTTCCCCAACACGGAGTTCGTCTTCGATTTGGAGCTGCCGCCCGATTTCCGCCCAGTCTGCTCGGATGGGGAGGTGGAGTGCTTCGAGATCCTGCCAGTGGGGCAGTGCCTGCGCAAGGTACTGGCGGCTGATTTTAAGACCACCAGCGCCCCCTGCGTGCTGGATTTCCTGCTGCGGCACGGCGTCGTCACGCCGGAGAATGGTGAGGGCGTGGCCCACTCCGCCGATCCGGTTTGACTGAGTGTGCTTTTTCAGAGCCCGACTACTTGAAGGTGGTCGAGCTGCTGCACGTGCCCCTGCAGTCGATCTACGCCCCGAAGGGGCGCCCCAGGGAAAATGGCGTCGCCTAAACCTGCTTGCTGCTAATCTCGCCACCATTAATCCATAGCTGCTAGGGTTTTTTTCTACTTGATTGTGATATTATTTGTAATTTAATTATTTAATTAACTGCAACTGCTGAGAGTTTGCTTGATCCCCAGTATTATCCGGCCTCCTTCGGCGTTGCCACATCCCCATCAAACCACCCGCAATCAGTCAAAGTTGGACATCAAACTCATACAATAAACATAAACAATGGAAGATCTGGTGGCCAAGTGCGTAGTGCGGCTCGAAGTGAACGAAAGCGCAGGTAAATGGGGCTGGGGGCCCGCTGGTGTTCCTACGGCAAGTTGTTCCAGGGGCCCAGGGGGCGGAGGCGTTGCAGGACAAGGGCAGGGGCCAGCGGCAGGCGCATGAAATCAGCGTGGAGACGTTCCCCAGTCGGCTGGAAGGGGCTCGCGACGACTGGGGCCTGCTGCCGCTGTCGTCGCGCGAGCAGACCCCCATGACGGAGGCGGAGCCGCTGGCGGACCCCAGCGGCGAGATTGGCTTCTTCAGCGGCAACCCCTTTGTGGAAGTCACCAAGGGCATCCTCCACCTCTACAAGCAGGAGTGAGTGGGGCCCGGAGAGTCCATAGAGCTTCTGAGACCAACTGTCTGTTGCAGTGCGATGAGCAGTCGCCAGGAGGCGCTCACGCTGTGCCTCATTGGGGTGCCCTGCTCGATGACCTGCCACGACATTCTGGGGTTCACCGCCCCCTGCCACGGGGCCATCGCCCACATCCGGGTGTTCCGGGACTCGCTGCCCAATCAGTACATGTGTTTGCTCACGTAAGTGGCCGGGGGGCGGGGCTTGGGCGCGCGGGCTGACGCGTTTGGTTGCAGATTCCGGGAGCACGAGGCCGCTGTGGAGTTCTACGAGACGTACAACGGCGCCCCGTTCAGCAGTCTGGAGCCGGAGCGGTTGTGCCGCATTGTGTGGGTGTCCAAGGTGGAGTGGGCGCATGATGGGCTGCCGCCCCCCGGGCACACGGAGCTGCCCACATGCCCAGTCTGTTTGGGTGAGTCACGCCCACTGCAGCCACTGGTAGGTGGGGTCTGTTTGTGGTGTGATTGTAGAGCGCATGGACGAGTCAGTGGACGGGGTGCTGACGATTCTGTGCAACCACGCCTTCCACGCCAGCTGTCTGGAGAAGTGGGGCGACACCACCTGTCCAGTCTGCCGCTGCGTGCAGAGCCCCGAGCAGGCCGAAACGTCCGAGTGCGACGAGTGCGGCAAACAGGCCGCCTCCCGCGACGCCCTCTGGATCTGCCTGATTTGCGGCCACGTGGGCTGCGGGCGGTACCTGAGCGGGCACGCCGCCTCCCACTACCGTGAAACCAGCCACTGCTACGCCCTGCAGGTGGGCTCGCACCGCGTCTGGGACTACAAGGGCGACAATTTCGTGCATCGCCTGCTGCAGAACAAGGCCGACGGCAAACTGGTGCCGGCCGAAGGCCCCGCCTCCGAGGCGGAGCACGCGCAGGAAAAGGTCGACTCCGTCCAACTGGAGTTCACCTATTTGCTCACCTCCCAGCTGGAGGAGCAGCGCATGTACTTCGAGAACAAGCTGGCTGTGTAAGTCCCGCCCCTCTCTCATTTGCTTGGCCGCTGATTGGTCCGGTTGCAGCACGGAAAGCGAGCTGTTCAAGGAGATCGACCAATTGCAGGACGACGTGCTGGCGCTGTCCACCGAGCGGCAGGAGCTGTGGGAGCAGGTGCGCCAGCTGCGCAGGGAGAAACAGGCGCTGGAGAAGAAGGCGCAGGAGCAGAGCGGGCGGCTGGCGAGCGCGCTGCGCGACTTGAACGAGGAACGCCAGATCGGCAAGGCGCTGCTGGCCAATCAGGAGCAGCGGCAGGCGCAGGCCGCCGCCCTGGAGCAGCGCGGCGCCCACCAGGAGCGCGAACTGGCCGAGCTCAAAGAGCAGGTGCGCGACCTGATGTTCTTCATTGATGCGCAGCAGGCCGTCGAACGGTCTGAGCATCGCGACGAAATCGCCCAGGGCTCCGTCACCGTTGCCAGCCCCCCACCGGCAGCCAAAGCGCGAAGGGCGCGCAAAAAAAAGTAATTTTCGTTTCATTAATAAATCAATTGTTTTCTTCTTGGAAAATTTGGTTAGAATCACGGAAAAATCGGGAACTTATGAAAGGAAGAMATTCTTGTCTGTAAACATTTTCTGCAYCGGTCTGTGATTCCAATGATCTTGAAATTTTGAGCTTTTTTGAAAAAAYGCACGAGTTTCGGTAAAAGCAGCGCTTCGGAAAATTGCTTCTAAAGACAACAAAAAAACCGGTCTCCTTTAAACGCTATGGAAAAATCCACACTTCTCACTCAAGCTCTACTGTGACATAATACTGCCAGAAACAAGTACTAAACAATAACATTAAACAGAATAACCTCMTTCTTGTGTATAAATAAATACATGGCTCTGGGGRACAGCAAATTTCAAAAGTTTCCTTTCCAGTGAAATATATGAACAGTCCAAGATTTTCTTAACAAAGTTGGAGCGAGTTTTTGGARAAAACAACTTACGGCATTCGTGGTGGCRTCTAGCAAATAYCCCATGGAAARTCCGGAAGGTTCAAAGTAACACACACAACTGCACCAAAGATGTCAAGAAACGTCCGCCTGTCTMAACCGGMGCCGCGCGTTCGCCTTTCACTTAACCTAACTATTTCGATYYGTTTGAACGACGTTYCTCCACCAGGGCAGAGGATCTACTAAAWTTCAGATCGGGTAATCGACSTGWTCTGGTCGGGTCAACGCTCACTTCTGATTGGTCAGAGACTAGGTCCGACAGCCATTCGGATTGACACTTAATGGTATATCAGTAGCGCCGATAGTTATTTTTGCCCGAAATTAATGAATTTAAATGGCTCTTTATGCAAACTCACCCCCTATTTAAGCATGGGGATCTGCAAATGCTCAGGGGACAGCCCTGAATAATAGTCCAAATTTACGCTGACGGATTGGCCGAATTTTTTTGAAAATTTCTTGCTGTAAGCCCATGATACAATGAATACAAGGTAGGATCTTGCGTCGATTTGCGTAACGTCAGTGGAAATAATTGCCCGGCGTTTTTTTTTTCGTTCCGTTTTTGCTCATTTCTC